ATATATATATATAATTAAGAGGTGATTAGAAAGTTTCAAGTTTTAATTAAAAAAATTAAGCTCCAGTTGTATTTGTTCACTCACCCTACCAAGTCTGCGGGTTATATTTTGGCGTATTTTATGTTATCATCAAGTATCAACAGCTATTTTGAAAGAAAATTATTCATTTTATATAGTTGATGTGACTTTTTCTATATTTAAGGGTTGAAACACAATTAATATAATGAGAAATTAAACATTTAAAATTTCATATTTCTTATTCACTTATGATTTGTTTACGATGGCTTTTTATTTTTATTAATATTATTTTTTATGTTTACTTAATTTATTGGGGGCATTTATATATAAGCCACACAATTCTTGAATATTTATATATCTAATATCTAAATTATAATTTTTTATTTATAATTTTCAAATCTTTCAAACCATATAAGAAATACTATTTGATGTGTGTGAGAAGTGTTGCGGAGATAGAATGATTTTTTAGCGCCTTAACGTTATATGAAAATATAACACATACTAAAATAATTGAAGTAACTGGTATAGACATAAAAAAATTTTACATGAAAAACCCGGAAAAAAAAAACATGGGGACTAGCCCAGATAGAAAAAATCTACTATATTTTGATGAGTTCAAGTACAAAGCCCATCCCATATATGAGAAAGGTTACCTAGTTGTAGTGTTCGTTTGCAATATGACTCGTTTCACAATGTTCGGGAGCGGTTACAGTTGCCGAAAGTTTGGTATCCCACCTTTGGAGTGTGTCTTTGTGAGATGTTCAAGATGACACATTGCTATGTAGAAAGCTCTACTACTCCGTGACGTTGGCAACTACTTAGCATTTCATTACTAAGCAAGTTTGGTTGTTGTTTAGCAAGGTGTTTTGTTACTTTGCAACGTATGCTGAAATTATGCATCGCACATCGTGATCCAGCATTGGGCGTTGTTTGCAACGACCAAAGGGCTGCCTACGGTGTTCGACAGTGATCAACGAGCGGGGTTTGATGGTGGTCGGCAGTGACAAGAGCAAGAAATATTCACGGGATCTTTAGTGTAGAACACTAAACTTCAGCTCTTCTTGATCCTCCTCAAAGCTCAGATCTTCGTCCCCTTTCATGAAGGGTGTGGAGCACTATTTATAATGTCCAAGAGAGACTTTTCTAACATATAAGAAATAAACTTGACCACTCTATTGGATGGTCCAAAGAGATCTCATTGAACTTATGTTAATATGTAGAAATTTGATCTCTTTAACGATGTCAAAATTGAGTGATATTAACCTTGTTGGATTTATCCTGTCGAGATGTTTGATTTGACTATAAGTTATATATGATTTTTCATTTAAACCTAAACATTATGGATGATATTTTTTTTGTTATCATGGATGTTTGGAATCAAAGTCAAGCATATGTGGTACACCCAATGACATTTTTAAAAATTTTATGCGTGCTAGAAATTTCGTAGTGATAGAGTAGTAGATTATTGTCTTAGGGTTGCACAAGAATTCAATACACGCTAAGATGAAATAAAACAACCAGCAAATACACCAAAAGTTTTTACATGGATAACCCAAAAAGGGAAAAAATCACGGGTCTAACCCACCAGATGAGATCCACTATAAATTGAAGATTACAAGTACAGTTCTTTGTCCCACATGCGGGAAAAGATTACATAATCTTCTGAGCTACAAAGTTGATATTTATTGTAAGAAGAGGGCGACTATCGATAGTGATCAACGACAACCGACAAGTGGTATTTTTTATGTGTGGAAACTGATTTGGAGAGCTAACGCAGAGGCATAACACCTGACACATATGTGTCCGGTTGTAGGTGCATATGCACCTACTTCTGGGCGTAGAGACAGTATATGCACTAGCCATTTAGCACATATGCGCCCACTTATTGTGGATGCGGTAAAGTTGGCATATAAGTGCCAAACTTTGGGCGCCTAAGTGCCCAACTTAGGCGATACGTGATAGAAATCTTAACACATAGGCGCCAAGTCCGGGAGCCTATGTACCCGAAGCATTTGGCACAGGATCTGGATTTTTAACCCCGATTTCAAGCGGCGTAAGAACTATAAGCAAGGTTTCCTTATGCAGTTCTTCGATAATCATCTCAGTAAATGTAAGAAGGGTCAAAGAGGTGGTTTTGTGTAATTCAACGTAATTCTTGCGTCAGATTGGAGAAGGAAGTTTGTGGAGCATGTTTTGTAAGTTTCCTTGTGTGTAGAGAGAAAACTTGTGTGAGTTATTAATAAAAATTTATGAATTTCATGGTGAAATTTTCTCGTGGTGTGGCTCCTTGGTTTTTTCTCGTTCTCGAGGTTTTCCACATAAAATTCTTCTGATTTCCTTGATTGTGCTTCTGTTCATAATTTTGTTTTGGTTTTCTTAAATTTGTGTGATTTTGTTATTACGTGGTGTGGTTTTGTTTCTAACTGATCCCGACCCTGGTAAAGTTGAAAATTTTACTTGGAATTCCTATCAAACTAATATCGGAGAGAGGTTCGATTAGAGTGGGAGAAATGACCATAGAAGTAAGGTTCAAGGTGGAGATATTCATTGGGATAATTTTTTTCTTGGAAGATCAGGTGGATGATTTGTTGTATCAGAAAAAAATATATTTGTCACTACAAGGAATCACATGAAAGCTTGAGTCTATGCATATGGAGGAATGAGTAGTGTTGGATCGAATGACACTAGGTTTGATCAGGTTATGACTTTTCTCATATATTGCATTCAACATTGTTAATGAGAAAACTACGGTGGAACTCATTGTGACATTGGTCAAGATGTACGAAAAACCTTCTACTTTCAATAAGGTTTTCTTGATAAAGAAGTTATTTAATATGAAGATAGTGAAAGACATTTCAGTAGCAAAACACTTGAATAATTTCAATATTATGACAAATCAGTTGTGTCATGTGGGGATCAATTTTGATGATGAGGTCAAATTACTGGTGATACTATCTTCATTATCAGATAGTCAGAATGGTTTGATAATGATGGTGAGTAATTTTCAAGGACTTTCAAGTTGAACTTTGATGATATCGTGGGTCTGAGCTGAATGAAGAACTCTACATAAAAGTCGAGAATGATGAATCTATAGGTTCTACATTAAATGTTAATGACAGAGGAACAAATCTGGGCAGGAATATATGCAGAGTCAAAACTAATTCTAAGAAAGGAAAGCCCAAGTCAAGCACAGAAGAATGCTAGAACTATGGTAAGAAAGGGCATTTCAAGAAAGACTACAAAGCTCTAAGGAAAGTTGGTGGTGGAGGACAGGAAAGTATTTACCCTGCTAATATCTCCACTGGTGAAATCCAAAATGACTCGTTGGTGTTATCCCGAGTCAAAACTGAATCTTGGATAGTAGATTTAGGTATCTATTTTCATGTTAGCCCCAATAAGCAGATATTTAAAAATTACACTCAGAGTGATATATGAAATGTTTATTTGGGAGACAACAATGTCTCCAGTATCGTAGGAAAGGATGATGTTGAAATTGGGTTACCAAATGGAATAGTCTGGAATTTTACTGAAGTTAGACATTGTTTTTTTTTTTGTTCTTTTTAGAATTTGGAGTCGTCAGCTTATCTATTTATATATCGTCGTATGATTCTTTCATTCAAATAAATCTTTCTCCTGAATCATAGAAATGATTCAAAGAGGAGGGGAATCAAATAAGAAAGGATATATGACAAATTAATAGACAAACAAAAAAGAAAAGAGACAGATGGCTAATGTATCGGTGATCCTCGTGTGATGGGTCGAGATTATACGTGAAAATAAGATCGGATCAAAATACCTCGAAACACAACATCCACGAAGAAAATTCCTACACAAACCACATGTAACTAGAAAACAAAAATAGAACATTTTTGTTCAGGGGTCAAGGGTCTCCAAAAGGGTTGTATCTCATTTGGTTAAGTATATTTTCTAGTTACACAAACCACATGTAACCAGAAAACTCTCGATAGAAATAGTTTCGCTTTTATTATCCATTGGGAAATAGATCCACAAAGGGTGATTCTTTTTTATGGGAAAGTCTCTATATCGCGTCTGACCGTCAGACAAAGAATGTCTCTGAAGTTGTTTTATCTCTTTTGAGTGTATGTGGAATCTACGTATCACGCCAAGGCGATAATCTGATACTCTACTGTCACGAATTTTCTTGCACACATCAAGTTTTGCCACGAAATAAGATAAAATTTATAAATTTTATTTTAAAAAATGAGGATTTACATACATACCAATAAATTTCTATGTATTTTCATTCTTAATATGTTTACTTTAATTTTTACGAATATAGGATCTTATCTATGAATAGTAAGATGTATTTAATTTTTGAGAAATTAATATAATAATATTTTTAAGGTGATATGAATTATTTAGTTGCTATATATAAAAGAATAAAATTTAGCTACTTGCTATGTAAATACATAGGAGTTAAGTGGTATATGTGTAAATGCACCAAAAAAGAAAACACCTCCCAGTCCACCTACCGATCAAAATCACCCACCACCACCACCGCCACCGCATCCACCACCTCTTACCAATGCCCTCCCCACTTCCTCCGCTACAAACCCTATCCCTAATCTTAAAATCATGACGGCCGGACCACCATCAACTCCGGCGGCCTCGGCGGCGGGAACCCAGGCTCGCCGTGGACCGACCAAGAGACTGCCCACTTGATCGATGCCTACGAGGAGAGATGGAACTCTCTGAAACGCGGCCAGCTCAAGGCTCAACAATGGGAAGAGGTCGCAGCCGAGGTTGCCGCTCGATGCGGCTTTACAGTTCCCTCCAAAACCGGCACGCAGTGTCGTCATAAGATCGAGAAGCTCCGAAAGCGCTATCGCTCCGAGCGTCTGCGGCCAGTGAGATCCTCTTGGACCTTCTTTGGCCGGATCGATCGGATGGAGCGCGGATCGGCACCTATCTCTGCGCTGCCGGCCTCCTCTGATGAGGATGAGGATTCCGCAGAGCCGCGCGGGAGCAATACGCGGAGCATTAATGGAATCCTGCGGGAGGCCGCGCCGTGGGAAGATTCTAGAGGTTCGAGAAGTCTAGGGAAGCGGAAGAGACTACCTGCAGATGAGGAGGAAGACGATGATGATGAGAATGATGTGGAAGATGGCGGTGATGTCGGCGAGATGGCGGCGGAGTTGAGGAGGTTTGGGGAGGGTTATGTAAGGATGGAGAGGAGGAGGATGGATGTTATGAGGGAGTTGGAGCGGGAGTGGATGGAGATGGAGGTGAAAAGGATGGAGATGATCATGGAAGCCCAGCGGGGACTTATGGAGACCATTGCAGGGGCGTTCTCGAAGAAGGCGAAGAATTCGTCGGATATGTAAGCGCAAAGGTAATCTATGCCGCCTTCAACGCTCCATCGTGCTCTGGTTTTTTTTTATTTGAGTTAAATAAGCACTGTTTGACGAGGAGATTTGTTCATTATACTCTCCAAGTCGGCATTTTTTTCGCGTTTGAGTTTTTTTTTGGTTACTTTATGAACTATTTTTTAAATGGGCAATTTTAAGCATGGGATAATTTTCTCAGATTTCAGTTGTTGGATTTTGATATGATATTCTCAAGCCTAACTAGTAGATCACATGGTTTATATTGATTCGTTTGCGCTTTTTTCTAGAATTAACAAAAAAAAAGATGAAAATTACTTAATGGAAAGAGAGCAACAATGGCTTTCTTAGGTGCTTAAGGTAGAAATGCAAATTTGAGTGTCACTAAATTGTTTTATGTTGGGCAAGATGCATGGCAATGAGAATCATGAGAAAGTTGTAGATTTAAATTTTGCATATGAGTACTACTTTTCTAACAAGGTTTCTTCTGCTGGATGCAAAAATGAATCCCTATACCCATTAAAACTCTAATTTCGTGGTTACATTTTTTAATTGTTTTTAGTTCATAGTTTTTATTTTCTTATAAATTTAAAAACCTGACTATGTGTATGCTGATGATCCCAATAGAGAATGAATTGTATTCTCTAATAGTCTTATTGATATGGTTAGAATTCTATTTTGGTTAATCTTATGATTTTGCTAAACGAGTCTCAGTTCCTTCAAGTGTTGTTTTGCTATTGCAATTATTGTATTGCTGCAAGCTGTGTATATGCTGATTTTCGGATCTAAGGAGTAGCTGACTTTCATTTTTATGGTAAAGATATGGATTTCAGCCATGCAAAAATCTTCCTATTGCTAACTAAAATTTCAGGTTTCTTCTCAATTTTTTTTTGTGGTTCAAGTGCGGCACAAATACTGATGACAATTTACAATAAAAGCCTTCTTTTTTACACTGACATGAGGCTTTCATCTTCTATTTAGTGATTTTCATCTTTTGTTCTTATTTATTAGGTTTACTTTAAGAATGATTTTGCATTTGTATTGATAAAATATTGGAAGGTTTACATACAGGCCACTTAATTCCTATGTATTTAAATATCTAATATCTAAACTTCAATTTTTAAAATGCATGCCACCTTATCTATACATGAAAAGGTGTATTCCACTTTCTAAAAGTTTAAATATAGGTATTTTTTTGTGATATGAAGGATTTGGGTTGTGTTGATGTAAATAGTAAAGTTTAGGTGTTATATAGATGTAAATATATAGGAATTGGACGGTATATATGTAAATACCCTTAAAGTATTTCATAAATTTATTTTAATTCGTCCATTGCGAATCCTAATTGTTATATGATTTTATTCAATCTCAAATTTCTTTTGTAATTTCAATTTTACATGATCTTTAAGTTATTGTTTTGAGTGAGTTTTACTTATTTTCTAGTTTACATCAAGAAAACCAAAGCTTTTACATAACTAAGAGATGGTGTACTGCAAATTTTAATCATTTTGCGTGTTTTGGGCATTCCATTCTAGATTTGCGATTGGTAAACCTTAAACCCGAAGAGATCATTCATTACATTTGGCATCAGAGCTCAAGGTTGTATGATAATGTTAACAGGAAGTATGCATATATGTCTTTTAAAAAAGTAAATAGCTGATGCACTTTAAATGAATTTGGGTCAGCTATGATTATAATAAACAATAATGTGACTTTTAGGAGGTTCAACATTGTATTATTACATTATTACATCCAATAAGAGGTATAATTTTTTATAATTTTAAATTTCGATTGATAATTTGGAAATTTTTTTTTTTTATTTTTACAATCTATTTGATTTGTAAAGGGAGTTATTCCTAAATTAATGATAATGCTCAATACTATTAGTGTACTGTTAATTCTATATCTTCATGACTTGATATGGAACATAAACTTAAAGGAAAATGTTTGCCATCTAATGAATACTGGGGCAAATTACATTATCAATTGAAGAATTGTAAACAGAGTGGTTGTGGTGTGTTTGAGTATTATTCAGCATTTACTAATATTGTGGTTAAGTGTTGTTATCTTTTAAACTTTTGTTGTTACTATTGCATATTTTTATTGAGGTTTCAGGCGAGAAATTGGGAATTATCTATCCTGAAATTCATCAAAAATACTATGTGAGGCTTTATTTAGATCTTTGGATATTGAGGAATATTACAATCATTCAGTTAATACCCACTAAATTTTTATTTAGGGCCCCTAAAGAAAAGTTATTATCATTTCATCTAAAGTCTGTCAAACATACGCCAATACAATATTTATGCTTATCCAAATATGATCTTATAGAATGAATTGTAGTTTATGAAATTTTATATAGAATGAATTGTATCAGATGCATATGATAATTTGCTGTTAAAATATGAATCTGCACTTGATGTTGCTGAAACTAAGATTGCAATTGTGATATATGTTGATGAAGCTAAACCTCAATTTAAGAGGTGAAAATCAAAATTTGAAATTTTGAGTATGCAATCAATTATCAATCTAAACCTCAATATAATCAACTTTTAAATTAAAATGTTACCTAAGATCATATCCAAATCTAAAGATGATGTGTCTATGAATCTATTATTGACTATAAACCTAAACTAGTGATAGAAATTGAAAAACTTGAATATGAGTGAATTTATTATTGCCTATTAATGTGAACCAATCAGGCCCATTGAATTTGATTAGCAGTTGAGAAATTTGATGATAAAATCCTGATGAAATTACTTATAAAATCATCATTATTAATGAAATTGAAGTTGGTTATATTTTTGGTTCTGTTTCCTTGACTCTCAAATAAATTTTAAAAAAAAAATCTTCATCAGAAAATGTAGGTAAAAGAAACGGGAAATTAAAAATTTTAGCTATTTGTTCAAATGTAAAAGTGCATAACTTGTCGTAATTCATATTTAAGCCATTCATTTTTCTTAGAAAATGTTATCAGTCTATATGGGCATATCTTTATTATATGGCTTTGTATGTGAATGCGAGAAGTTTATTAATCTATAAGGCATATGATATAGCCATATCGTTTCTCAAGGAACTAGTTATAGGTCTGTATCAGCATTCATCAGGATGTATGGTAGTATTTTAGCATTTGCATTATTTGCTTTGTATTATATTAGTCATTTGCGTGATTTGCATCAAAATACTTGTTGAAAATTGATTATTCATTATTACATCTATAAGTTTGTTGTTGATGAGAATAAGATATACTAGGATGTAAGGTGTCTACTAGGAAGGTGGGCTCATATAACATTGTAGTTGTATTGGGATAAAAGATTATAAAAATATATATAGTGAAAACTTTTTACTAGTCCATCCTTCAATATGATTTGACTTTATTCCATTAATTTGCTACAATACCTTGTATTCTTCTCGCTTTCCCTCTTTTCTTTGCAAATTCATATTTAATATTTTACCAGATATGTCTATGCATATTCTTAATTTTGAGAGTATGTTTACTATTAATAGTAGTTTTTAAATTTGTCTTATGCTTTAACATAATAGACTTGTGTTAATAATCATTCCCAAATTTGATTGAAAATAGTTAATTCTGAACTTTTTCAAACATTGTAGAATGATGCGAATCAGATGTTTATATTTTTCATAAATGAAAATCATCATTACTCTCCATGCTCATACCAAAAGCGAATATCTTTCTGAGTTAATCATTGAAGATGATGTGCTCTATATCTTTTTATCTTTTTTTTTTCCCCCTTTCTTTTTGTCTTTTTTTTCTTTCTTTCTTTTTGATGAATTAATCACTGAATGTTTATAGCACATAGACTTTATGGTGTTTAAATAGGAGGTAAAGGGAAAGAAGTTAGTAGCCTGACTCTCAAAGAAAATCTCTCTCAATCTCGCGATCTTTTCCTCCGTTTTTCCTGACCAGAGTTGAAGAATGACTCCTTAAAATTCCTCAGCTCCCTTCGATCTTTTTCGCAAGACCTCTCCTGAATTATATTGATTCACGGATTATACGGGTCAAATGTCCTAAAACAGTTCAACAATTTTATTCCCTTTGATTTTCATGGTCAAATCATCTTGATAGAGAGTAATCACATTTTGTTCTATTTATTGGCAAAGTTTATCTAAATTCGAACATATTATAATATTAAGACTTCTCATGCACAAGCATGCATGAGGAATTGTTTATTTATTTATTTTCTTTATTATGTAAATCAGAACAAATAAAAATTATGACAATTTAGGAGATCTTCATACATTATCTTAATATTACTTCTAAATATCTTTTGAAATAATTAAATCAAGTCTACCATTCACCAAAGTGGACTTTTTTTTAAAAAAAGAGCTAGGAAGCATTTATTATAAGCAAAAGAAACATCTTTGCTCCTTAATTTATTAAGGAACTGGTCACCTACGTAGGCACTCGATTTTTTTTTCTTAAATTATGCAGTTAAATTTTGAAATTTTATAATGTTTTAGTTTTTAAGCTTTTAAAAATAAGCCTGTTGTATCTTTTTTATTTTTTTATTTTTTATTTTTTATATTTTATTTTTATAGTGTTTTGTATGTGATGACTTTTGGGGGAGAGAAGTGATGAAATTGTGGAAATAGATTTGAGAGATCCAAACCAAACTTTTGAACATAAGTGCACAAAAATAAGAAAATCACAAAAAAATACAAAGAATGCAAGATTTAATGTGGAGTAACAAAAGAATGGGAAAAAATCATGGAGTCGCACCACGCCAAAAAATCAACTATAAAAAATATGACAACCATATAAATTACACCGCACTCAAGCCTCTTCTCTTTTGGAACACATCATGATACTCTTCTCTTTATTCGCATAGAAGTAAACACGAAATCCAATCCTTCAACGTGCACCCATCTTGCAATGAAACTTAGAATTTAAGTGAATGCTGCCTGAATTTGGTTGTTGGCGTTTGAGCGCTGCTATAGTGGTGTTGCACCGCTCTCCTACTGGCGCTGAAATGTCACGCTCTCGGGTTCTAAATATGAACTCGGAGTTGTGTTGTGGCTGGTCTCGACGTTGTGGTTTTACATGTGGGTGTTATGGTGCTCCCCTCCGGGCGCTGCAATGTTACTTTTTTGGGCTTTGAAATTTTTATTGGGTGTAGCGGTGCTGCCTTCTTGGCTTTGGGTGTTGTGTATAGTTTAAAAAAAAAAACCCAGGATATTTATGCCTTTTGGAAAACTCACCGTCAAGCATGATTGAGGAAACTATGAGCTTTCAGTGACCAATTGATTGACACAATCAGAATCCTCATAATAACAATAACGTGTTAGTTGATTTACATAATTAATTCGATCCAAATATTTATGTTAATTTTTTGAAAAATTGGCTTCATTTTTATTTGTTTTGAAAGTTGAGTGTTGATGACAATTAGATTAAAAATTAGTGGTTAGAGTGTGCTTTGAACTCGGGTCTCATAGTCGGAGAGAAAGCTTTCTACCAACTTCTTCATTGCACCCTCTATTAATCTCATATGAATATGGTCATATTTTGATTAAAATTTTGTTGAAATTTTTTTATGATAATATTTCTTATTTGAACTAAATTTTATGCACATTTTTTTCATGTAAATATTTCCTTATTTTTATGTCTTCGGAGCATTGTGTTATTTTTATCATGTAAATGTTTAGTTGTGGCATTTACAAACATATTATCCAATTCCTATTTATTTACATATCTAAATTTTATTTTTTACATTTATATTACCAAAAATTTTCACACCACTTCAAAGCACCACCATTTTAACTTAAAAAAATGAAATTCACCTTTTCATACATAAGTAAGGTGGCATGTGTATATGTAAATATTGAAGTTTAGAAGTTAGATATGTGAATACATAGGAATTGTGTGGTATGTATGTAAATCTTCCTATTATATATTGCATGAAAATGATATCTTATTGATAGTAGATATACATCTAACTTTTTGATAAGATATTCATTAAATAAGCATCATCTATGAGAATATTAATACATGAGCACATATCTTTATTTTCTTAAAAAAATTAGTACCAACCCTAACCATCATATGGTCTGGACATAACTAATTTAGAAGCTATACCAAATAGGCATCAATGGATGTTGATTTCTCTTGGAACCCTAGCCATTATTCCTCTTAACTTAGGACTTGTCTTCTCCCACATCTTCACAATCACCAAGAAAAGAAATCTATATAATAGCACCATCCCAAACAATATTCCCAAATTGACCCACTTTGAGTATCTCATTTCCACTTGCCATATTTCCTTTAATATCTCCTCTCCTGTGATTGTAGGAGCTCCACCCGTTTGATTGTTAGGAAATGTCAATCCCACAAACTCGTTCTTGTAGAATCCTTGATTTGCATATTTGTGAAAGGCGATATAGTACATCGGGTATCGCCAGACCGGCTTCGGCAAATCATCAGGCAACCTAAAAAAGCCTCCATTGAGCATCATCACCCCCTGAATTCCAGCACCAGTGATGATCCCCATCAGAAAATCAGGGACGATGCTGGCGACTATCATCATCAGACCTTCAACCAGCATCATACACGAAAATAAGACGAGCGCAAAGTAAACAAAATGATCGATACTGCTCTGCAATCCTACTAAGTAGTAGGCAATGGCTCCAGGAATGACTGAGATCAAGGCTAGGTAGGGGGTTGCCGAGACTGTGTTGGCTATCGTGAATGAAGTGACACCGTAATGTCCGTTTAATCTCTCTCTTTTGAAGATCTATACAAGCACATTAAATATATATTTTTCTTGTATTAGAAATTGAGAAAATGTAATTTTGATAAATTCACGAACCTTCATGTCCTCCACAAAGGATGGGAAGCCACCAATCGCCATGAATGTAAGGAATGCAGCTGTAAACGAAAGCATAGAGCCTCTAGCCTGAAAATTATGATGAAAAACTCATTAATCTATCCTGCTATAAATCACTTAGCATAGCTAAATTGTTATAATCATAATCTAATTAACACAATTAACATAATTTCAAATATACCAAAATTGATTAAAAAAAATAACAATCGCCCAACCTGAATAGAACCAAAGCTATGGCCAATATTGTGAAAAATTGTTCCAACGCACAAACAAAGGGCAACATAGATAGCAAATCTCAGCCAATAATAGCCCAAATCTCTGTACATATTAACAAATGATCTCCTTGTAAGCACTACGCACTGCAGCAAAAAGCTGGCCTGCCTCCTCTTATTCACGGCTTCCCCTCCCTTACACCCAAAAAAATTCAATATTTATATGTATGTCTATATGAATTGTCTATGTCAGGAAATATATAATTTGATTTACATATATACCATTTCACGTATATGGTCAATCTGTAAAATAGTTTGGTATGAATGCCTGGATGAGATATAAGACTGGACTAGGATCTCTATGGCTTTGTCTGAGGTGGTGGGCTCTGCTTCAGTTCCTTCTTCAATGTCCTATTCAACAAATAATTGCAATTATATTTATTAGAAATTAATTCAGGATTAAAATGTAAAATTAATTTTAAAAAATTGGTAAATATATTAATATAAACAAACCCTGTCAAAATCCTTGTTAATAGTCTTCAAGTAGTGATCTGAGGGATTTTTAAGGGATGGAATTGGGAATCCATTAGATGCGAAGAACTGCAAATAATCATTAAGAAAACAATTCAATATATATATATATATATATATATACATGAATGCATCATTCATATGAATAAAAATATGAATGTGAATGCAAATGGAAAATGCATTAAACAAATGTGGTAGTTTTGGAATGCATATATTATTTTAAAGTAAAGTAAAATGAGCAACTAAAGATAATGTAATTAATTAAAAGTGGACCATCAAAGTCGGTACTTGGATGAACTACAAAAATTAAAAATGTTTCCATGCCTAAGTTACTGCGTCACAAATTATTATTTTTTATTTTGAATTTAATTACGTGAACTGCTGAAAACGGCCATGGTTTTATAGTGAATAGAAAAATGCTATAATAATAGTGTATTTACAATAATTTATTAACCGTAAAAAAATAATTGTTCAATTTTTACATAAATTATATAATTATTATTTACATAAATTAAATTTTTCTAAATCCTAAATTATTATAATTAAGAAAAATAATAAAAATACCACTCAATTCCTATTTATTTGCATATCTAACACCTATACTTTTCCACTCTTCCTCGCATGAAAATATCTTTATTTTTACCTTTAAAAATTTCAAATGGTGGTATTTTTTATGTGATTAAAAATTGAGTTGTATAAATGTAAAAATTAAAATTTTAGTGTTATATATATAAATACAGAAGAAAATATTGAATCGGAAATTTCTATTATTATTATTATTATTATTATTATGTTATTTTATCATAATATATCAAAAATATTTAAAATATTATGTAATTATTCGAATCTAATAATTTCTCAAAAGTACTCACCTCGGGTGCGGCGTCGGGCGGGCCGAAAAAGACGGCCCGCCCATAAGCCAAAACACAAACCGATTTGAACAATTCAAAGACCTCCGGCCCAGGCTGATGCACGGCGGCCACCACGGTCATGCGGTCCCCACTAGCCGCCATCTTGGCGATCCGGCTGATGACGTGGAAGGCGGCGGCGCTATCGAGCCCGCTGGTCGGCTCGTCGAGAAATAAGAGCTTCGGCCGCTTGATAATCTCCATGCATATACTCACCCTTCTCCTCTGCCCCCCGCTTATCCCCTTAGTAGCTCGGCCGCCGATCCGTACGCCGCCGACGGCTGCTAGTCCCATCTCCCTTATCGTCTCCTCGGCTCGCTCGAGCTTCGCCGATCGGCTCAGTGAGGACGGCAGCTGGAGCTCGGCGGCGTACTGGACGGCTTCCAGGGC